AGCCCAATGGCTCTTGTATTTTCCGGTTCCGGTATGAAACTCTTGTATTTTTCGGTTCCACTATGAAACCGATTCCGGTATGAAACTCTTGTAAATTCCACTATGAAACTCTTGTATTTTCCAGTTTCGGTATGCCAATTTCTCAAAATTTTTGCATTTTTAAATTTTTTTAATTTCATTCTTTCCTTTAACAATTTCATATTTACAATTTTACACTTTAAAAATTTAATAAAAAAGTAAAAAAAAAATTATTTGGGGGTGGCCGAAAACCGGCCGGTCCGGGAACCGGAACCGGTACCGGCCGGTCCGGTACCGGTACCAAGGGGTGGCGGTACCGGAACCGGCGGTTCCGGAACCGGAACCGTCCCGGAACCGTACCGTGTCCACCCCTACATGGGAGATCACAAGTTCAATATGTAGTGAAGACAAATATTTTCAGTGTTTAAATGACTATATATTGATATTGTCACTCCACAAATACTATCTACACTCTACGTTTTTTTTAATTGGCAATTTACTTGATTACCCTTTCATAAGGCTATGTGGTATGCGGGTGACATTGAGGGTGGCCATGGTCACTGGGCGAAGGAGGGGAGGGATTTCATTTTTTTACTCCTTCCGCCTTAAAATGATCTTCTCAATTCGGTTTACGGGGGTTGAAGTGTAAATTAAAATTAAAAAAATAAAATTATATTTTAAAATTACATCAAAAGTTCTACGAAATAAGATGTGACATGATCACTATATTATTTTATAAAATAACTAACGAAAATAAGTAAAAGAAAATAATTAAAGTTTGACCATGTGAATAGTGACTCAGAAGATCATTTTAGGACGGATGGAGTAATTCTAATTTTTAAAAAATCAAAATTTAACACATCGTTTACACTCATTACTTCAAATGCCTTCCATCATACCATTTATATTCAATCATCGTTCATTACCCCCTTCATCACCTCTTCATACCACATATCTAAGTATCATAAGAGTTAATCAATCATGACGATTTACATTCTATTATAAAAATATTTATATAAAAATAAATATCGATTATGTATAATCACATGTAAAAATAATTTATATAGTTTATTGCACAAAGACCCCCTCGTGGTTTGGTAAATGGGCATTGTTCCCCTCATAGTTTCAAAACTTATGTCATTGTTCCTTATGATTCTCATATATTTCTACATTAATGTCCCTCTAGATTAAAATATTCTTCAAATCTTAAGTAAATAGATTTGATGTCCCGTATGATTTTGGAAATGGACACTAACGCCATATCTCTTTTTTTTCTCTTTTTTTTCTTCACTGGTTTTCTTTTTTCTTCTCTTTTTTGGTAAACGTCTGTAAAAAATCTCAAATCAATTTTTTTTAAATGTTAAAAAAAATAAAAATTGTTTGTATTTGAAAAAAAATGAAATGAAAACTTTAAATATTAAATTTATAATAAAATTAAATATACTTTTATTATAAAACGTGACTTCTTCCCGTATATAAGATTCAACTAATCTATTATTAGGGAGTATATAATATTACACATTTACTAAAATACCCTTTTACGTAGTTATTACAGAAAGTGCATTTTCGTTGTGCATTACGATATTTGACTAAAATATTTTTAATTAATTTTATATGAAAAGTCGTATGAAGTTAAAAAAATTAAATATTTAAAAAATACTCCCTCCATTCCACAAAACATTTCTTGTTTTGAATTTTAAGTGATTTAAAAAAAAATTATTTTGATGTTGACTTTTCAAAAATTCTCTTGGATGTGATAGGTAAAAATAGATGCGATGGGTATATTAGTAGTGAAAAAATGTGATGTGATAGAAATGTTAAGAATTAGTATGGGTAAAAATGACTTTTTAAAAGAAATGAGAAAAGTTTTTTGGAAGAGATGAAAAAAGAAAGAAGAAAAATTTTGTGAGACGGAAAGAAAACATCGAATGATCTACGAAGTATAAGACTAAACATGATACTCCGTCCGCCCTCATTTTGATTACAATTTTTTCCCTCTCTTATTGATTGCCTCGTGGTGTTGCTGGCGATTGCGCCCATGCACGGTCAGATTATGTTAAAAATAAAAGAAATCACCTACCTCAAATATGGGTAAAATATACTCCCTCGGTCTAAGAAAGAACTCTTTATTTTTTTTTTGAAACGTGTCAAAAAGCCTCTTCTTTCATTTTATGAAAAATTTTGAGTGACTCACAAAGTTTCTCTCCTCCGCATCACTTTCAACGACACATTATTTTCATTTTCTTTAAATTTTGTGACAAGTCAAACTGAAACCTTTTTTTTAAATGGAGGGTGTAACATTTATCCTCAAAATAAGAATTTCATGTTTTTTATCACCAAATAGAAGTTTGCACTGAGACATGAATTAAAAACACTGTATAGTAGTTACATCGCACTCCGTTTCTTGATACTATATACTGGCATTGTACTCATATTTTAGGGATTTTGACAATTTCTATGTGTACTCCTAGTTTAGTCATTTTCCCTAAAAATAATTCTTATCCTTGGTTCTTGTCTACTTCTCTTCCTCCCATTTAGGCTAGTGGCAAATTCAGTAATTCAAATAGTTGGGGGCATCACTAGTCGGGAGCAGGGTTCTTGGAAGTTTTTTCAGTATGCAATATAAAACCGCAAAAATAAATTTTATTTCAAATATTAATATTTATTGAATGTAAAATTTGGTTATTAATTGACAATGTAAATTTTATTTTATAAACACCTAATGATATGCAATGAAACACAATTTAATCAAAGGGCCTATATACCTAAAAGCTTAAAAAAAAGAAATATTTGCACTAAATAACATTGAAACTTAAGTCATTTCCCTAAATAATACTTAAACTGTTTTATTCTCTAAATAGCATTTAATTATGTCCAGTAATGGCGAACATTTACTTGAATAATGACTAATGGATAATGACTAAAAGTGCTACATTGAAAAAAATCACATACTCCGTATGATGTTATTTAAGGAAAGTCATTATGGTTCAGTGTTGTTCACGTAAAAATAAACATTTTCTTGTTTTTTTGCTTTGGTCCTCTTCTCCTTTTTAAATCATGTACTCCCTCCGTCCCAGAGTATTCCTCCAGTTTTGACTTTTGGAACTGTTCATCTAAGCACTTTGACTCATCAAATTCTCTCAATGTGTAAGCCTGAATATAGTCATGTGTGATCTTATTTGATTTGTCTTAACATATAGATTATTAATATCTAATTTCTATAATTTTTTAATATACAAATTACAAGATAAAATGGATTAAAGAAGTATATTGGATGGTGTGTAAAAATGAAAGTGGACAAATACTCTGGGACGGAGGTAGTATATTCTCATGTACGCTGGTGTCTTTATACCTCAGTTAATAAAATATTTTTATTACTCGCCATTATTTTGTACTCGCTTAGAGCATGGGCAATGAAAAGTAAAATATGAAATGCCACACGATAACGTGAATTATTTTAACCAATCAAAATCAGTCGAGTCAGCGTTTGACAAGTGAGCAGAGTGACATTCCTTCCAATGGCAAATCATTGCTTTTGTCAGTGTTTACACTTTTAAAATATATTTCAATTATTAAAAATTATTTTACTTATCTTTTTTCATAAAAATAGATGTACTCTTTTTTTTAAAAAATCTTTTTTTTACAAAAAACAACAAATTAAAAAAAAGAGTGCCTTACAGCTGCCATGCCAAGCATGGCAAAACCTCTTAGCCACGCGAGGCAAATGAATTATTGGGATGATGTGGCAAGGCGTGGCAAGGAGTTGCCTCGCCAGTGCCGGTGCTCTATTTACTTAAACCCTTTTCTCTTTCTCTTTAATCCGTCACAACAAAACTTTTCACTTTCTATTAAAAAAATGATTTTACCTTTATTAATTTTTACCTTACATATCACATATCATATCTATTCATTAATAAATTACCAGTACTTATCAAATTCTACTTTATCCATCATATCAACGATATGTTTACAAAGTCAACGCAAAAATAATTCTTCGTTATATCTATCAAAAAGGGAAAAAAAATTTAGGGACGAAGAAAGTATAAGTTTTGATATAGTTTTTAAATATTTTAAATTTATTATATATATATATATATATATATATATACAATCAAGTTCGTGAGCAAAATAAATTTTAGGCATGAAATTCTACTAAGAAAAAGTGTATATTTGAACTTTAAAAATGGTTAATTAGTTTGTTTTGATCCTTTTCAAAATTGAAAGTTTTTAAACCAAGCAGTTTTAATTTATTTTTTATGAGGTCTTAAAACTTTCAATCCCTCTAGACAGCGAGTATATTGGAACTTTTAGAATGCACAAGCACAACTCCTGCAAACCATATACTCATACAAACGCGCGCTTTCTTATGGAGACTAGGCAAACCTCTAAACCATTCACTCCCTCTCTCTACATAAAAATCTTCTAATTACGTGTTACGAGACGTGACTGACTTTATTTTCATATAATAAAAATATTTGTCACGCTTGTATTCTCGAAGTAAAATATCAAGTTTTTTCAATTCATTTTATTTATATATTGGTATAAAAATAAAAATAAATTTACATATCAAAAACCAAATGAAAAGCTCTTCGAAATAAAAGGTGCCAAGAATATTTTATTTATCAAATAACCAAAAAAAACATAAAAATAAATAAAAGTTCCTACGACTGTTGAAAAAGCAAATATTGTAAACATTTTGGGACGGAGGGAGTATAATATAACCAAATGATGCATATCCCCAAATCCCAAGTACAACAAAATGATGACTTAACACTAACACTAATTTACTCCGTATTAAACCCACTGTCATTCTCTACGGATTATTATTTTTATTACTATTTAACATTAATTAACCACTGTCATTAGACCACAAAAACTGGTTAACTATGATTTCATTTGAATTTAGTGTACCCTTGGAAATTAATTAGCCCATTCAAAATTCTATCCGCGCATTTTCACATGCTTTCATTCGGTAAAAAAAAACCATTATTTAGTAGTTATTAATAAAAGTATTATATATTTATATATGCTGTTGCTTCCCAGTTAAATAATCCCAAACACCTCCTTCGCCGCCGCTCCACGCCGGGAACTCACCGGAAAAATGAAACGGCGCCGTATCGTAACTGAAACTCCGAAAATCTCCTCCCTCGAAATGATCGCCGGTGACCCCAACTAAAACACCATTTTGATCACAACCGTCACCGGCGGATAGAGGCGGCGACGGCTGAGATTTTGGGAGGTAGCCGCTAACAACAATGTCTTCTAAAAGCCCGGATTTCGACGGCTGAGGTTTCGGGAGGAAGGCGTTAACCACGTCTTCTAAAAGGCCGGATTTGGACGGCGGAGATTGAAAGAAATCCGAGCCGGAGCTGAATATCTCTTCGCTCTGATCGAACGTCGTCGTCGTCGGAGGTTTCGGGGAGGGAGGCGACGCCGTGCATGTCGGAGGGGTATAAATGGAATTGTTGCCGGAGTGTGACGACGAAGAAGAGATTTGACTCAAGAAATATGGAGATGGAGTGTTATTAATAGGGTATGAGTCCATGCTGACGTCGCTGTTCAGTGACGTCAGCATGGGGCGGTGAAGGAAGGCGGAATGCAGGGGCGGCGGGGGAGACGGCGGGTAGAAGAAGTTGGTCCTCGCCCTCGCCCCCCGCATGGCCCTGGCCGCCGCGTCGTACGCGCAGGCGGCCTCCTCGGCCGTGTCATAGGTCCCGAGCCACCGCCTCTCCTTCGAAATGGGGTCTCGGATCTCAGCCGCAAAGCGGCCCCACGGGCGTCGGCGGACGCCGCGGTATTTCACTCCCCCGACGACGGTGGAGCTACCGTCCCGGTTGGCCCTCCTGACGGAGGTGCACCTCCGGGAAAGCGGAGGGGTGGGAGCCGCGGGGGCGGCGGAGAAGTCGGTGGGGTTCCCGGCGAGCATCTTGAAGATGGCTTCATCCATATTATTGTAAATTATAATGTTTGAGAATAGACAATAATAAGAGAGGATCGGAGGATGGAGATTTTATAGTCGCCTGAGGGAAAATGGAAATGATTGTTTTTATTTGGGGACTTGTTAATTTTTTGCATTGTTACTATCACTGCCACTGTCCTATATGTTCTACCTGAATGAATTAGATTTCCTCGGTTCCTTAAAATTTTTCCCACATTTTTTAATAAAAAAGTAACATATTTTTTCGACAATAAATTAAACATAATCTAAATAAATAAATAGATGATACTCTCTCCGTCTCAAAAAGATTTATTTGTTTCATTTTTTGTACATCTCATAAACCATTTATACTCACATCTAAAATGCCTAAAATTTACCACATTTACCTTTCATCGTGGGTAGAAGTTGTTTTTAAAAAAAATCGCATTTGAGACGAGATAAAAAGATTTTATGAGATGCGCAAAAATAAAACGGATAGATCTTTTTGGGATTGAGGAAAGATAAAAATTTGATATATCAAAACTCTATCCTAAAATGAACCTAATTATATTCAATTTATATTATAATTAAGTATATTTTTCTCACCATTTATAGTTAAAGTATGTCAGTGTTTGATAAAGAATGAAACAAAAAATGTTTTTAGGACCGGAGGGAGTATTTTACACACAACGAAATAAAACCTTAGAATTTTAAATTTGATTTATTTAATTATTAATATAGGAATAAAATATAAATTTACACATTTAAAAGATATATCAATAGTTTTACAGAATAAGATATGACAAGAATATTTTTTTTCCATCAAATGACCAATAATGTGAAAATAAACAAAAATTTCAGTAACTTTTGAATAGAAAAGAGTTTAATTTGTTTTAGGATGGAAAGACTATATTACTCAGACCCTAGTCGGGTTTCAATATACTCAAATCCGATCGAACCCGACCTGTTATCATCCCTAACTCCGATTTCACTCTACAAGTATTGAGATTTTTGCCCCCCAACTTACATTCAATTTCTTTCCCATTTCCTTCTCTATTGTGACACAAATATTTCGTATTTTATTGAGGCCATAAATAATAAAAATGGAAAACTACGTAGTAGACTATGGTAGTGTTAGGTTCCATGGATCATGTATGCATGCGGGTGTTGATTGTGATTTAATATTTTAATAAGAAGGGAAAAGCATTTCACACACCAAAATTAAGGGTATTTGTGGAATGTCAATACAAAATTATCTCTCCTTTATTTTATTACTTTAGTCAGTATGTTTCTCTTTTTTTTGGGACGGAGAAAGTATATTTTTAAGGAAAATTTATTTAAATAACACTAAAATATAATGACTTTTTCTAAATAGCATCGCATGTGTTGTTTTCTTTCAAATGTAGCACTTTTTGTCATTATTTAAGTAAATGTTCGTCATCACTGGACATTATTAAGTGCTATTTAGAAAATAAAATAGTTTAAGTGCTATTTAGCAAGTGACTTAAGTTTTAATGTTATTTAGTGTAAATATTTCTATTTTTAATGTGTGTTTTTTTATTTTCTTTGAAAAGTTTTATAGGATTAGTTTTTTAAAGATGATAAATGGTTTCTAGCTTACCCTCCTTAAGTGTGGCATCCAATGACATCTATGGCTGCATATTATAATTACTGGGCTGGGCAATATTGTACATTGACAATGACACACGGAGTATTACGTTCGTTACAAAATAAGTACTCCCTCCCTTCTAAAACTTTCTTCCCGTTACGCAAAACGAAGAAAAATCTCAAGTTTTTTCAATCTATTTTATTGAAATATTGGTATAGAAATAAAAAATAAAACTTACATATTTAAAAACTACATCAAAAGTTCAACAAAACAAGTGGTGACAAGAATATTTTATTTTATCATATAGGCCATGAAAAAACACAAATAAATATAAATTTCCGTGAAGTTGGAATAATGCTATGGGAAGAAAGTTTTAGGACGGAGGGAGTATCCTGTTTTAACTTTTTGCGATAAAAATTGAAATTTTCTAATATTAATTAAACTAAATTTATACTCCCTCCGTTTCTTAAAACACTTCCTCTTTCATTTTTTTGTTTTTCTTAAAACACTTCCTCTTTCTATTAAAAAACCACTTTTACCCATACTTTTTCATACCCTACCTATCACATCATACTTTTTCACTATCAATTAAACTATCACATCTTACTTTTACCCATCACATCAAGGACAAAATTGGAAAGTCAACTACAATTTAACACTTCCTTATTTTTCCCCAAAGTCAAAAAAGGAACCGTTTTGAGAAATGGAGAGAGTATTATATAACCATACAAGAATAGTTTAACTAAAAGTTACTACGTATATTTTAAACTATTTTCAATATATATGTGTGTGTGTGTATAGTCACTTTTATATACCTTACCTATCACATCATACCTTTTTATTAATAATCTATCCATCAAATTATACTTTTACTCATCACATCAAAAGACATTTTTGAAAATTGAATACTAAAATACAATCCCCTTAAATCTCTCCCCAAAACTAAAACTCCCATGTTTTCCGGGACGGAGGGAGTATATATTTGAGTACAAAGTTTGTAGTATATTTTTTTTTTTGCGGACAAAATAAAGGAAAAAACCTAGGAAATGAATGTAGAGAGAAAGAGAGATAATTAGTGAGTAATAAATTGGGGGGGCATAGGGAAGTTGGAAACGTATGGGAAAGGGAGTAAATAAGAGAGGAATGAAGAAGAAGACAGAGAGGAGAGATTTGTGAAATGATTACACTAAAATAATACTGTTTCCCCTTTCATTAATGATAGATTATTACAGTTATTCTTTAATTAATTAATTACGCCTACGTATGCATGCATGACAGCTCCGCCCTCTCTATTCCCTTCTTCTTTTACTAGACTCGCAGTAACTTTTTTACGTGTATTCGTCATTTTTTCTATTCAAAATATTTAGATGTATTTTAGACTTCAATTAAATAAAAATGCTAATCTTGTTTTGAATTTTGAAATTTTTAAAAGCAATTTACCTAAATCGAACTAAAACATACTCCCTTTGTCCCAAATTATTTGTCACATTTGCTTTTTCAACAGTCGCGGGAACTTTTGTTTATTATTACGTTTTCATTGGTTATTTGATAAAATAAAATATTCTCAACACCTCTTATTTCGAATAACTTTTCATGTAGTTTTTTGATATGTAATTTTTATTTTTTATTTCTTTACCAATATGTAAATAAAATGAATTGGAAAAACTTGATATTTTGCCTCGGTAATAGAAATGTGACAAATAATTTGGGACGGAGGGAGTAATGATTTTCTTAATATAGAACCATATATTTTTAATTATTTCTAAATGTAGGACCATTGGTCATTATCTATTAGTCATTATTCAACTAAATGTCCAGCATTACTTGGTCATTGTTCTTCTCACTAGACATTATTAAGTCCTATTTAGGGAATAAAAAAGTTTTAGTCATGCATTGAGAAATGACTTATATTTTAGTCCTATTCAGTGCAAATTTCACAATTTTTAATCTATTGTATTAATTTGTAATACTCTCCCTGTCCTAAAATAATCTTCACAGTTTGGTTTGCGAGATTTGACCGAATTTATTTTCGATTCAATTTATTTGATTATTGGTATAGAATTTAAAAAATAAAAATAATATATATTTTCCAAAACTACATCAAAAGATCTACAAAACAAGATGTGACATGAATATACTCCCTCCGACCCTAAATAGATTACAATTTTTTTTCTCTCTCCTCTCGATAACTTTTGTTTGTTTACGCGATTTCATTAAGTATTTGATAAAATAAAATATTCTTGTCACTTCTTGCTTTGTAGAATTTTTGACGTAGTTTTTTAACATGTAATTTTTATATCTTATTGATATACCAATTTGTAAATAAAATGGTTTCAAAAAGTAGTAAATTTTACTTCGTAACCCGCAATTTGTAATCAAATTGGGGACGGAGGGAGTATTATTTTTCAAGTAACTAATAAAAATAGGTAAATAAAATGATTATAGGTTGACAATGTAAATAGTGTCTGGAAAGACTATTTTAGGACAGAGAGAGTACAAACTAAAAGTAGTTGATGATAAAAATTTGTCTAGTTTGACTCAAAAAAGTAAGTACGTACACTCGAACGATGGGGGGAATTATATTGATGCATACTACGTACAACATTCAAAATTTATACTCCCTAGCATGTGTCTAATTTTGACTTTTTTCAATCAAAAGTGAAAAGCTTTAACATTAATTAAAAAAATTCGTATTACATGTTAATACAAAAGAGACTTTAATTTATTAGGTTTCTTTTATACAATATTTTCATAATATTACTCCCTTAGCTTTATCCCACAAAATGTTTCTGGTTTGATTTTAAAAAAATTTAAGAGAAGTGTATTTTAGTTATGACTTTCCAAAAATGCCATGGATGTGATGTATGAACTAGGATATGATGAGTAAATTTATAATGAAAAAGTGTGATATGATAGGTGAGTTATTAATTAATATAGGTAAAAGTGATTTTTTAATAGAAATGTGAAAGGATTTTTTTGGGACGAATGAAAAAAGAAAGGAAAAAAGTTTTGTGGAACGGAGGGAGTATTTTATATCTAATAAACACATCATATAATTTCTATTTACAAAATGAAGCCAAATATACAAAATGATTGACTACAAAAAATCAAAACTAAAAAAATACTCAAATACAGAGGAAATACATATTTTATACAGAGTATTATAAACTTTTCCATTTACTATTACAACGTTCATTTTGTTCATAAGTTTTTTTAGTAAATATATAAATTATATTTTCTTTCTATAATACTCCCAATATTTTATATATCCATATTTAAAAAAACTTTTTAAGTGAAATTTTATACCTTATTTTTATGTCTGTGAGAAGACTAGTATACCCTAAACGGCTAAAGTATCCCTAGCAAACCTCATTGATTATTTCAAGTCGGAAGAAATACTTAGCAGGGAGTCAAGGACCACGGCAGTGGACAGTTGTCAGGCCCGATCCCAAAAAATGAAAAAATAAAATTGGTTCGGTCCAAAATTTATATTTTGTGCCCTATTTTACATTTTTAGAATACTTTTGCTTTAACATTATTAACA